AACCATGAGTCAGGGCTGAACCTAAACGGTGTTTTTCGTTCTCGTTTTGTTTTCGTTTTCCCTCGCTTTTGTCTCCAATCCGCCTTCGCTGCAAAACGAAGCCGAAACGAAAGCGGTCCACGAAATCACCATGAACACCGTTGAGGTCCAGTCCTGCCGGGAGTAGCAGGCGCTTGGCGAGCCGCGGCACACGCTCGGCGACCCCGCGGCGTCCTCCAGCGCCGCGGGCAGGAGCCGCGGGGCCTCGGCGACCGGGAGGGGGGCCACGGCCTCCGGCCGCGGGAGGTGCAGCATCAGCTGCGCGGCCTCCGCCGTGGGGGGGGGGGAGGGGGGAAGGGGGAGGAGGAGGAGGGGGAGGAGGAGGAGGGAGGAGGGAGGAGGGAGGGAGGGATGAGAGGGAAGAGGGAGGAGGGAGGAGGAGGAGGAGGAGGAGGAGGAGGAGGCGGAGGAGGAGGAGGAAGAGGAGGAGGAGGAAGGAGGAGGAGGAGGGGGAGGGAGGAGGGGTGAGGAGGGAAGAGGGAGGAGGGAGGAGGAAGGGAGGAAGGAGGAAGGAGGGAGGGAGGGAGGGAGGGAGGGAGGGAGGGAGAGGAGGAGAGAGGAAGAGGGAGGGAGGAGGAGGGGGGGAGGAGGGAGGGGGGAGAGAAGGAGGAGGAGGAGGAGAAGGGGAGGAGGAGGAGAAGGAAGAGGAGGAGGATGACGAGGAGGAGGAGGGGGAGGGAGGAGGAAGAGGAGGAGGAGGAGGAGGAGGAGAAGGAGGAGGAGGAGGAGGAGGAGGAGGAGGAGGAGGAGGAGGAGGAGGAGGAGGAGGGGGAGGGGGGGAGGAGGAGGAGGAGGAGGAGGAGGAGGAGGAGGAGGAGGAGGAGGAGGAGGAAGAGGAGGAGGAGGAGGAGGAGGAGAAGGAGGAGGGGGAGGAGGAGGAGGAGGAAGAAGGGGGGGGGGCACGGCCGGTCGCCCGGGTCGGGCGCGAGCGACCCCGACGTGCTCGAGTCGCACAAACAAATCAGGACGGCTGGTTTTTCGCCGTTCTCGGCCTCGGGGGGCCCTCGCCGGGCCTCGGGGCCGTCAAAAAAAACGGCTCGGGACGAAAAACCGGTCCCAGGGAACGGGCCAGGAACTTAAGGGGGCGCCGTCCCGAAAAAATCAAGACGTCGCATGTCTGGGGACGGAGCATACAAGAACCCTCAGCACTTTTGGAGGGGACCTATGAGTAAGGAGGAGGAGGGGGAGGAACGAACGTCGCCTGAAAAGGCTCGTCCGTCTGTGAGCCGCGCTACGGCACGCCAGCCCCGCCCGACAGATCGGCGGGCAGCTTCATGGCTCGGCGAGCGGCGGCAACGGCAGTCGTCTGCTTGTTGCACGTCATCGGGATGTCGTAGTCCTTCGTCAGGCGGTACGTTCTGGTGGCCACGGAGAGCCTGGCAATGCTGTTGGGGATGCCGTTCTCGCTATGAAACGGCCCGGTCAGCTCAGGAAGGCCGAGCCTCGTCATGATGTTGGCGCTCAGCTGTCCGCGCGGTAAGCTCAGCTGGTGCCACATCCGCTCGCATATGAGGTAAGGATGCTGTCGTCGGCGAGCGGGCATCCGAAATGGCATGGGCGCTTGGTCGAGATCACGTGCTTCCTGTGCGAGGTCGTCCACGCGCCCGTGAGGACCTTCAGGGCGCTCCACAGCCTGGCGGGCGGCAAGGTCGCGAGGTGGGTGCGGAGGCGCATTCACCGAGCGGGGGGAGATCATCAGGAACTTGCTGGACTTGAATGAGATCACGCTGTGCGTCGGCGTCGGCAAATGGGTCTTCGGCGCCCATGTCGTTGTCGTCGAGGTGAAAGTCGTCAGGGTCGGCGTCGGGCCCCAGAAAGGGCAGAATGTGGGCGATCCAGCGGCGTCGGGCACGGTGCTGGGCGGCCTCGTAGTTGAACACCGAGGTACGACTGCGTGGCGATCGGCTACGTTGCGACTCGCTCTGTGATTTTGGGCGGGTCAGGCGGCGCTCCAGAGGAATTCGTCCCGGACCGCTGGTGTCCCACGCTTGAATGCACATATCGACGGCGATGCGGTGCCGCTGGATCTCGGTGGTGTACAACGGCTGGAACAGGTCGGTGCCGAGTAGCTCGTACAAATATGTGACGCACCACTGCATCCAGTCCTCTTGGTTGTTGATGCGTCGGTCGTTCACCAGGAGGTTAGGCAGCCAGTGCGCTGCCCATGAGCGCGCCCTGTTCAGAAGACGCTCTTGGACACGTTCAGCTTCACGCCGCGGTCCAGATGGTGGTTCGCGTGTAAGTTGGCGAGCAGGCTCCAGTATAGGGTTCCACGCGATCAGGCGACGCTTGATGGTGTCAGGCATGGTGTCGACGTAGAGCTGCACGTTCAGCGAATTCGTGTAGGCCTTCTGCGGCGTGATCTTGGCAGGTTTGCAATGCTGGTGACGGTCAGGTTGTTGAGATATTTCATGGGCGTGGCTATGAAGGATGGCTTGCTGTCCAGCTCTGGCGGCGCGCTTCTGGCTGGCGGTCATAGCGGCTAGTGCGCGGGGTCGGGGCCCAGCAGTGCGTGTCAGGCGTTTGAGATGTGATCCTGTGTAGTCAGCGAAGAAGGTGGAATCGGTGGCACCCTCGAAGCGTTGAACGATGGCGGTCTTGATCTCTCAGCAGTCGTTGCACCACACGCCTTGCAGTGCAGTGGTGACGGGAAGCTGGTCGTAGGCGGTGTCGCAAAATTCGCGGTGTGCGCGTCTCCACTCTGTCACAGTGGTAGATGCCGTGCTCCAGAGGGTGGCGGTCAGGTAGTTCTCGATGCCGATGGGGATCTCCACGTTAGTCCAGAGCGACATCGCGAGAACGTCGGACTTGGCGAAGCTGGAGGGGGCGACACGCAGCTTGTAGATGGCCTGCAGCTCGTTCTGCAGGATGCCCTCGGGCGGTTCGAAGAGCTGGCCGACATATCCCAGGCACGTGATGGCGGCGACGTTGTACAGCTTGATGCTTTGCTGGATGGGGGCGTGCGAGGCGGCGAGCTTCTCCACGCGGTCCCACCACTTCACTGCGGGGCCACGCCATTGGTCGGCAAGCGTGGCGCCTGGGCCCACAAAGAAGCCAAGGTAGCGGGCTTTGGACTCGATCTTGAAGTTGAACCAAGGGGGGTGAGCAGCCGCGAGGACGTGTCGCATCTCGGCTACGAGGTATTGCGATGGGAGGGCCCAGGTCGGGACGACGATGCACTTCTTGGAGTTGGAGGCCTGCTAGGGTCTCGGCCGCGATCATGTGGGGGGCGAGCACGCTGATGTCGGCCAGCCTGGCGAGGATGATGCCGAAGTCGTCGGCGCAGGCGCTGATGAGCCCGCGGTGGATGGCGTTGAAATCGAAGGCTGATGGCGATGAGGAGGAGGAGGAGGAGGAGGAGGAGGAGGAGGAGGAGGAGGAGGAGGAGGAGGAGGGCAGCGGTTCGGGCTCGGGCGGGGGCCCGGTTGAGCGGCTCGGGCGGCCGCTCGGGGCGGCCCGTGCTCTCGGGGGCCGCGGCTCGGCGGCTCGGGCGGCGGCTCGGGCTCGGGCTCGGGCTCGGGCGGCGGCTGCGGCTTCCCCCCCCCCCCGCGGGCGGCCTGTGCAATGTGCGCCTGCGCCCGCGCCTGGCGGCAGCTCTCTCTCTCTCTCTTGTATTTTTTTGTTGTTCTCTCTTTCTCTCGTTCTCTCTCTCTCTCTCTCTCTCTCCCCCGTCGCCACTGCGCCTTCTGGGAGAGCGCCGCGCCGTGTGCGCAGGGGCGCGCGGGCGCAGGTCAAGAGAAGGACTTCGCCCCTTGCACCGCTCGGACGACGTCCACTCAATATGCTTTTTGTTGTCGGTTTCGTGCGTGCTCTTCTGTTGCCTGATGATCCAGGGTGCTCCTCGATGGTCCTCGCCGGGGGGGGAACAAAAAAACACGTCCGAGAGATGCCAAGTCTTGCCATCGCTCGGACGTCCCCCCGTGCACTTGTTCGGATTCGCGCGAGTCTTTTGTTGCCAGATGTTCCAGGAAGCTCCTCGATGGTCCTCGCCGAGACAAACTGCACACGTCCGAGCGATGTTCGGATTCGTGCGTGTTTTTTGTTTTGCCAGATGGTCCAGGGAGTTCCTCGAGGGTCCTCGCAGAAACAAGATGCAAACGTCCGAGCGATGTCAAGTCGCATTGCCATCGCTCGGACGTCATCTCTTATGCATGATTCGGTTTCGTGCGTACCTTTTGTTGCCACGTGGTCCACGATGATCCCCGATGGTCCTCGCCGAGACAAGATTCGGCGGCGAGCGAGGGAGGGGAAGTAGGAAGGAAAAGGCGTTCTCAGAAAGGCGGCGGGACTTCACGGAAACCCTCGCGCCATCTGAGAAGTTTTCTGTGTCTTCGGGGAAAGCTTAGACAACTTCTCAGAAGGCCAGGGGCTTCCGAGCCTTCTGAGAAGGACCTCTCCTTCATACTTCCCCCCCTCGCTAGCCACCGAAACATGCACACGTCCGAGCGATGCGAACGTCGCCCCTCCCCCCCCGAAATGGTCCGAGCCGTGGGCCCGACCATGTGCAGCTGCGAGCAGCGCAAGGCAGAAGGTAAGGAGCAGGCGGGCGAGCAACGAGACGGGGATGAAAAAGGCGGGGACGAATGACAGCAGGAGGTCGGCAACGAGACGTGGGGTAGAGAGAGGCGCTGGAGCTCCCTGTGGGGCCACGAAGCGTGTTTGAGGAGCGGACCCGAGACGCCACGCGACCGCTGCGAAGTGGGGCCCTCGGCGCAGCTGCCTGTAGGGCCACGAAGCGCGCGAGTAGAAGAGGAGGTGGCCGCACCCCCCGAGGGGTTCGGTGGATTTTGCCATGGGCCACGATCCTCTCGATGGGTCTGCCGACACGGGTGGGTGGGGCCGTGTGGCCCCACCCCGTGGGGGCGCACAGGGTAACGAAGCATGTGAGGCGTGTGCCGAAATTGGCATGCGGAGAGCGAGCCTGCGTGTGAATGAGTCAGCCTGTGAGCGGGTGTGTATGTGTGACTGGTTCGCGGATGAGAAGATCTGAGCACGGGAAACGAGACAAGACAGGACATTCACCATGAGCTCAATCCGATATCTCTGGGCCCCCGACCCACGATCCTCTTTAAATCGGTCCCCCGATGGGCAACACCCGTCCTCGACCCTCTTCGATGCAGACAAGTAACTAGCCATCCCTCGATCCGCGATCATCTACCTCCCCCCAACACCCATGCTCCCCGGGGCAGCAGCACCGGCAGCCAGCGGGGGCCCGGAAGAAGCGCGGCCCCGCCGCGCGCGCACGCGTCCTGCACCTCGGCGGCCGCCGCGGCGAGCTGCACGTGGGCCAGCGCCGTGGGCGGCAAGGGCGGGACGAACGGCGGCACCTCCGCTCGGGGGGGAAGCGAAACGGACGGCAGGGGCGGGACGAGCGGAACGACCGGGGGGCGCAGCGAGGGAAGGGCGGAACGCACGAGCTGCGGGCGCCGCCCCTCCCCTCTTCCCCGCCTTCCCGCTCCCCGTTCCTCCTCCCTCGCCCCCTCCTGCGGGAGGCGAGCCGCAGGGTCGCGCTGGCCTGCTCTGGCCCCGCCCTCGGCCACGCAGTGGCCAGTGGCGCTGTCTGGCGGACCGTCGGTGCCGACAATATGGTCAAGGAGGACATCTATGGGCCCGCCCGTCGCGCTCAAGGCGGGGCTGGACGGGGCAGGCCCGGGGGTGTCGCCCAAGGTCGCGCTGAGGATTTTTGTGGCGGCCAAACGTGTTGCCAGAGTGTCCCGCTGCAGGGGTCCTTCGGCCGTTCGCGCCAGGGAGCCCAGCTCCGCAAGTGTAAACGCTCGGGCACGCAAGAACCGAGAATTTTTACGGGCCCTGGCGGCGCCCCGGAGGCACTTCCAAAGTGCCTTCGGCGTGCGTGCGCGTGCACAGCACATTCCCCATACTCCCGACGTCATGTTTATTTTCGTGACGTCGACCCCCAGAAGTCTGGACCCCTTCCCCAGGACCGGTTCTCCATCCTGAGTCGTTTTTGAAGGTCCCGAGGCCCGGCGAGGTCCCCCAGAGGCCGAACATGGCGGAAACATTCCCGTCCTGACTTGTTGCCCTCCTCGGGGAGGTCTGGGCCTGCTCGGCTCCGACCCCGCCCTCGGCCACGCCGTGGCCGCGGGCCTCGCGCGCCCGAGGGCCTCCCCGCCCCGCGCGCTCCGCCGAGGTGGCGGGCCTCGCCGTCGATTGCCCGTGGCGCGGGCTGCGCCGCTGCCGGCGCCAGGGCGAGCCGCGCTCGCTCGGACCGCGCACGCCTCGCCAAGATTCTCAGGCGACAAAGTAACAATGCTCAGAACATGCACCAAATTAGCCAAACGTACTCAAAAGAACGTCCCCATACTATTTCTTGACCGCTTTGGGAAATTCCCTTTGTAGAGGGAGGGGAACGCCAGACTTAACCTTGGCCCTGAGGCGCGGCCCCAAGACCAGGGGGGGATAGCAGAGAGCAGGGTACTCTTAGAGAATCAGCTCGCGCAGCCGATTTTCCCAGCGCCTCCCGGCGCCGGGAGGCGCCCATGCATCGCGGGATGGGCCCGGCGGCGGGGCCGAAGCCAGCTGCATTCAACAGATTTCGTACCCTCCCACCTTTCCCTATCCCCCCTTTTCGCTCGGCCAGACAATATTCCCAGGATGAGAGGAGAGAGGTCCGCCTGGCGCGCACCACCAAGATGCGGCTACACTCAAGAGTGGCCCTGGGTCAAGCGTGCCCTTCGGTGCGCGGCTGTTTTGGGGGCCGCCTCGCGTTCGGCGATCGGGGGGCCCCAGTGGGCCCGCACCAGAGGTCACTCCTGCGAAAGGTCACTCTTACGCCTAGTCAAAAGATGCTGGGGAGGTCGGGCGCACAGCCCCGGGCGACGTACGGCCATCAGGCCGCAGGCCTAGCGCCGTCATCGCTGCTCGCCCTTCGTCGAGGCGCCGCGGCGGCTGCCGTCGGCAAGGGGCCCGGCCGGCGCCTGACCACCACGCCGGATGCCCTCTGCGGGCAGCGCGACGCAGGCGTGGAGCTCCGCCGCCAGGTGGGCAGCCAGTGGCTGGAGCTGTGGCGCACAGGGCCCGACGTGCACGGCCAGGTCCAGCTCGCCCAGCCCACGCGCACCGTGGCGGAGCTGACCCGCGCAATCGCGCGCGACGCTGGCAGCACGCGCGCGGGCCCGTGGCCGCCGCCATCGCGCCCCTGCTGGGCGCGGGCTGGCAATCGCCATCTCCTCAGCGGTGGGTTCGGCCGACGGGCGCCAACTCGGTCGACGAGTGGTGCATCCCAGGCCTGCCACCTCTCGGCCGCCATCGCGCCCGCGCTCTTGGAGGATCTCATCGGCGACATCCGACGAATCATGTGACAGCGCGCGGCGCTGCACGAGGACGGCGACAGCTCGCAGAATAGCGCTGGCCTCTTCTGCGTCCATCGCGAACTCATGAGGTTCGTGGTGTGCGGCGCCCTCTTGACCAATGGTGCCATGACCTCGTCGTGAAACCAACAAGCATCGACACCGCTGCTCCCCAGACCTCTCCCGGGGGTGCGCTCTGACGAGAACTTCGAGGCGCACCCGGCGGTGGCGCCGAGGCCCTCCCAGGGGGCCGAAACAGGCGAGAACGAGAGAACTGCCACGGTATGGGCACCTCCCCCTCGGAGATCCGGAGCTGCCCGCGCAACGCGGGCCACGCCGACCACGGGGCCACGGAGTGCCTCTCGGCCCGAGGCCCGGGCGGGCTGGGAGCCAGGACCCCCCGGCCTCGGACCGTGCGCGCTCGAGGCAGCGCTGCCGCGCTCCGACGAGACACGCAGGCCGACTGGCACGAGCAGTGCGGCTTCCCCCTCGACGGGAGCAGGACCGCGCCCAGCTCGAAGGATGACGAAGGTGCTCCTCACGCTGCCCTTCCCTCGTTGTCCCCTTTTCGGAGCCTCCTGGGAGCCCTCGTCGCCTCCGCTGGATTCGCCTGGAGATGCTGGCCAGAACGAGCGGCGGCATCCTTCCCCTGCGGGTGCCCCCACCAGGCGGAGAGTCTTTTTCATAGGATTCTGGGGAAACCAAAGAGTACCGATGCCGCTACCCACCAGACCTCTTCAAGGGTGCGTTCTGTCAAGAATTTCGAGGCGAATCCGGTGGTGGCGATGAGGGCCTCCCAGGAGGCCAAAGAGGGGAAAACGAGGAAAGTGTAGCTGCACTCGTGCCTTTTGGTTTCCCCACCGACGACGTGGTTGCCATCTTCGGCGACGGATCTGCAGGAGAGCCCAGAATCGAATCGATAAACCGGATCGGCGATCGAAATGAATCGGACCGGCGGAAAGCGGCAGCCGAGTCGGGAAAAGTCCAATCGGCGGAAATCGGCAACCTAGTAGGTGTCCTTTCAGACATCGGAGCCAAAATCGGGATCCGAAATCGAATCGGAATCGGAAACAGTCGAAATCGAAGCGAATGGGAGGAATCGAAAGGAGCCCTGCGGATCTGGCGGGCAGCGCTCCGCCGACCCACGCCGACGGCGAGTTGGAGCAGCCGCCGTCGCCCTCCGAACAAAGGGGAGGACGGGCGGGGGCGCCCTGTCGCCGCCGCGATGGGCGGGCTGCGGGGCACCGGGCAGGCAGTGCCACGGGCGGAGGCTCTCGCCCTCGCGCTGTGTCCCCAGGCATGGCCGCAGCGCGAAAACATCAGGCCGGCAACTGTTTCGCTATTTCCGACCCATGGGGGCCCTCGCTTAGAGGAAAAAGATCTATGCACATACACCGATTCTGGCCAGGCCCATCCTGAGCCCAGGATCGGTGCATACGCCCTCCTACCTTGGCCAGGAAGGCACATGCACCGATCCTGGGTCAAGGATGGGCCTTGGCAGGATCGGTGCATGTGCATAGTTCTCTTCGCCCGATCGCTGGCCCCCAGGAGCGTCAAAAACCGACGCCGGATGAAAAGCCAGCGCCAGGGGAAGGGTCGGGACTTCCGGGGACGCCGTACTGAAAAAAACAGGGCGTCGCATGTCTGTGTCTCGAGTCTTCCCGCAGTGAGATTCAGGAGCCCGTTCAGGTTGCAAAGCCTCTTGTTGGAGCCTGGCGTTCACGGAGGTCTGAGAAGTGTGCACGCACACAGTGCGATCTCTGGGTTCGAATTCGGGCGGCCCTCAGGCAGAGGGAGGGGTCCTCAGCAGATCTAGAGGTCTTGTGGGCTCCTAGCTATCTCGATGACTCGCTTGAGCGAGTAATGAAGGAGGGTCTCGAGCATGTTGCATTAGGAAACGTATGTGCCGATAAGTCGGCGGAGCTGGCTGCCGAGCGGGTATGGGCCCGATCGGTGATGCGCCTCGGACCGATGCATGGAACAACGCTCGTGCGGCGTCGAAACCCGTCGGGCGCTCACGGACACGATGTCCCAAACTCCCATAGAGCTCGACTCGTGTCGAGCGCGTACAGTCTCCTGGCCGGGCGAGCATCCAGCGCGCGCTGGAAAATCGTGAAAGCATACCCCCCTCAAAAACAAAAAATAGTCGAAATTCGTACCCGTATTATTTTTGTGGGTATTCTTGAACTTCCTCCTGTAAGGGGACAGGCCCGACTTAATGTCAGGTCCTCGCCGTTTCGGACTCGCCGGGCCCCGCCTATCCGGCCCCGCCCGAGGGCCCAGGCTTTCGCTTTTGTCTCCTGCGGGAGCTCCTGCGATCCAGGGACCTGAGTCGATAGGCGGTCGGGCCGTTGACGGCTCGCACTGCGTGAGTGAGTTTCGCTTGCTGCATGTGTGGAATGACTGCTGCAACGGGTCATCTGCACCTCATTCCCCCATGCAGTGGCGCAGAAACGCGCAGTGGGAAGAGGAACCTCGCGCGAAGTTGCAAGGGCCTTCTCCCCAGCCACCGCGGGGCCCCGAAGGCCGCTTTACCGGCCCAGCAGGTCCTCACAAGTTGGGCTTCGGGGTCCTCGGGGTCGGCTGCGGGGGGCCCGGTCCTGACAGGGTAGGTAGGTCAGGATAGAGCGTCCGCTGCCCCTGCTCCCTCCTCCACCTCCTCCTCCTCCTCCTCCGCCTCCTCCTCCTCATCTCCTCCTCCCCTTCATCTCCTCCTCCTCCTCCTCCTCCTCCTCCTCCTCCTCCTCCTGCTCCTCCTCCTCCCCTCCTCCTCCTCCTCTCCCCCCTCTTCCTTCCTTCCTTCTCTTCCTTCCTCCTCCTCCTCCTCCTCCTCCCTGCTCTCCTCCCTCCTCCTCCTCCTCCTCCTCCTCCCCCGTTTCTCCCCCTTCTCCCCGCTCCTCGCCTCTACTATCCCGCCCACCGGGCTTCTTCCCCCCCTCCTCTCCCTCCCGCCCGCTTCCTCCCGCCTTTCTTCTTCCTCCCTCTCTTCACCTGATGCATGAATATGATAAGTCGTAGTGCTATTAGTATGATGTTTATTGTTATTATGATGTTTACTATGATGATGGTTATAACATTAATAATATTATAAATAATAATATCAAGAATCCGCCGGCCCCCTTGTGGGGCCACCAGGCTGTAGGCGCGTGATTCGCAGTTTCCTGTACCAGTCGTAGGTTGTAGTTTCCAGTGTTACAGTTCTGCTTCTTGCTGGTTACTGTAACTAGTTGACTTCTTGCTGGTTACTGTAACTAGTTGATTGACCGCGCGAGGGGGGGGAGGCCCAAACAGGATTTTTAGCCTCACCTGGGCGCGTTGTCTGAATTGCTGGGGGGGCTCGAAATCGACACCCCTCACGCAGATCCGCGGGGTCAGGGTCCAAAAACACATGGGATTTGCCACATTTCTGAAATTCGGTGCCACCCCTCACGCAGATCCGCGGGGTCAGGATCCAAAAACACAGGGGATTTGCCACATTTCTGAAATTCGGTGCCACCCCTCACGCAGATCCGCGGGGTCAGGGTCCAAAAACACATGGGATTTGCCACATTTCTGAAATTCGGTGCCACCCCTCACGCAGATCCGCGGGGTCGGGGTCCAAAAACACAGGGGATTTGCCACATTTCTGAAATTCGGTGCCACCCCTCACGCAGATCCGCGGGGTCAGGGTCCAAAAACACATGGGATTTGCACATTTCTGAAATTCGGTGCCACCCCTCACGCAGATCCGCGGGGTCAGGGTCCAAAAACACATGGGATTTGCCACATTTCTGAAATTCGGTGCCACCCCTCACGCAGATCCGCGGGGTCAGGGTCCAAAAACACAGGGGATTTGCCACATTTCTGAAATTCGGTGCCACCCTCACGCAGATCCGCGGGGTCAGGGTCCAAAAACACATGGGATTTGCCACATTTCTGAAATTCGGTGCCACCCCTCACGCAGATCCGCGGGGTCAGGGTCCAAAAACACAGGGATTTGCCACATTTCTGAAATTCGGTGCCACCCCTCACGCAGATCCGCGGGGTCAGGGTCCAAAAACACAAGGGATTTGCCACATTTCTGCCACATTTCTGAAATTCGAACCCATCACGCACATCCATCGCAAGGCGTGGTAACCCAAACTGCGAGAACTCCCTCGGCCCTTTAATCGCAAGGTGTGGTAACCAAGCCCTTAAACCATACACGTCTTACCAATCGCCAGGTGTGGTAACCCCTCTTGTGATCAGTTGGTTTTGTTGATTGCGACTCGGCTTCGCATGAAGTTTCGATACTGCTTCACGACAGCGCCAAAGCCTCATGACTTAGCTCTTCCATGGCCCATTCTCCGAGAGAGGGGGCCGGCGGCAGGGGGCGAAGCCCTTACGGATAATACTACGAATAGTAACAAGACTAACAAGTATAATTAATATTCGTATTCGTATGCTTCTTATTACTTGCATCACTATTAGTATTACCATCCTCATTACTATTAATATTATTTGTCTTCTTCTTCTTCATCCCTCCCTGTCCTCCTTTCCAGCCTGGCGGCGGTCGCGCCGAAGAGAGAGAGGGAGAGAGAGAGAGAGATGGAGAGAGAGCGAGCCCGAACCCCGAGGCCTCGAGCGGCGCGGCAGCGCCGGGCGCCAGCGCCGGGGGGAAGCTGTAGCCGCCTCGGGGGGCGGCGAACGAGGGGCTGCTGACCCCTGCAGACTCCGACTCGGCGGCGAGCGACGATCGCGGGGCGTGACCCCGGACGGCCCCGTCCTCGCGGGATGTCTGCCGCGGGAGCCCGCGACGACCTCCAGACGAGGCCCCCCCTCCTCCTCCCCGCCGGCCCCGTCGGGCCACCCCGAGCCCCCCGGGGGGACCCGAGCCGCTGCTCTCCGAGAGGCAGGTCGGCCCTGGCGCGCCCCCCGCCCCCCGGCGCGCGCCGCCAGCGTCCACGGGCAGGCGGAGCCGCAGTTGCGGCGCTCCGGGAAAAAAGGCCTCGACGGTGCCTCGGCAGCGCTCGAGCGTGCGCCTTTTCCGAGTCGATTCGACCCGATTCCGATTCGATTTCGATTGCTTCGATTTCGATTGCTTCCGATTCGATTCCGATCCGCTCCGGGAAAAAAGGCCTGGCTGTTGCCTCGGCAGCGCTCGAGCGTGCGCCTTTTTTTCCTCGGCGAGGACCATCGGGGAGCATCTCGGGCCAGCCTTGTGCGAAAGCATGCGCGCACGGAGACCAGTAGGCCTGCCATCGAGAAATCGGAGCCAAAATCGGAAGCCGACGTCGAATCGAACCGGAATCGGAAGCAATCGAAATCGAATCGGAATCGGAAGCAATCAAAGTCGAATCGACTCGGAAAAGGCGCACGCTCGAGCGCTGCCGAGGCACCGTCGAGGCCTTTTTTCCCGGAGCGCCGCAACTGCGGCTCCGCCTGCCCGTGGACGCTGGCGGCGCGCGCCGGGGGGCGGGGGGCGCGCCAGGGCCGACCTGCCTCTCGGAGAGCAGCGGCTCGGGTCCCCCCGGGGGGCTCGGGGTGGCCCGACGGGGCCGGCGGGGAGGAGGAGGGGGGGCCTCGTCTGGAGGTCGTCGCGGGCTCCCGCGGCAGACATCCCGCGAGGACGGGGCCGTCCGGGGTCACGCCCCGCGATCGTCGAGAATCGGCGGCGCGCCCGAGCCCCCCAAAGGTGTGAGACGATCGGGGGCTTCCAGTATGATTGAAGGGGCCCCAGGACACACAAATAAATACACACAACAACAAAAAATGTCCTTATATTTTCCAATATTTTCTAGGTTTTTGTCTTCCCCCCCACTGCCTATATTTTCCAATATTTTCTGGGGGATCGACGATTAATTGTGTCTGTGTTTTTTTCCCTCCTGAATGATGGCTTCTGGAAGGCGGAAGGCTTCCTCTTGGAAGGCTGTCACCCTCTTGCACCCCCCCCCCTTCTGCGCGCTGCTTCTCCACACCATGTCGGCGCACCCCTCACACGCTTCGTGACCCCATTGGGAGGGGGGGGGGCTCCACCACAGGCCCCAGTGGCGGGAATCCCACGCGGGACCGCGCTCAGGGCAGCACACGCCTCACAGGTTTCGTGCCCCCACGGGGAGCTCCACCGACGGCTCCAGTGGCAGGAATCGCATGCGAGGCCGCGCCTATGTGGGCGAACCCCTCACACGCTATTAGTGCCCCCCCCAACGATAGTCGCGCGGCCAAATCGATAGTCGCGCGCTGACTGTTCGCGCGCAGCCTGACGGGAGGCCAGTCGTTTTTCTGATGAAGATGATTTTGTGCAGTTGCAACCTCAAAATACTGCTGTAGTGATTTTCCCGGCTGCCGCGGGGCACCACAAGTGAAGGACCAGTTTTCGCTGCAGCAACATGAACAGACAGCAGACACACAAAATTTCGTTCAAGAAAGCCCGACTGGCAGGACTCGTATGCGTGACCGTGCCCATGTCGGCACACTCCTCACGCGTGTCGTGCCCCCCCATAGGGAGCGCCACCGGAGGCCGCCTGCCGCTTCTGTTGCCCCCCAGGCTCCGAGCTGGCAGACGCGCAGATCATCCCCAACTAGGGAACCGAACTCTATACACCGACGCCTTCGTCTGGCCTCACACTGAACCTCGCACAGGGAAGCGGATCCTGGTGTATACGGGATCCTGGTGTATACGGTCTTCTTTGTTTCTCCAGGAAAACGGGGGAAAAGTATACACCGCACTACCCCGACGTCGTCCCCGACCCTCAAAAAAAGTCCTGGGATTAAAAAACCGCCCGCCACTGGAAATGTATATGCTCCAGTTTCCGACCAACGGGTTGCATGCAGAGGCAACCCTTTACGGCTGACCTTGTGTCTGCGACAAACCCTCAACGAATCAAAGACACAGACGATGCATGAATTCCCTCGGCGGCGTCAGCCCGGGCGGAAAATTCGAAACCGCGCATGGCTGCCAGACACAGCAGAATCCTTGGCATCCTTGGCAAACCTTCGACCGACCTGGAACGCACCACCATGTCAGGCAAGCGGTTTACTATAGGAATCAAACCATAAATTGACCGATGGAGCATTCGAGGATGAAAAGGTTGGAGAGGTTCTGCAATGCCTTCCTCTGCGACCCCATTATAAACATCGCTCTGCCCTTCCCTCGCGCACCTTACAGTCAACCCGTATGAGAAGGACGCGCGAGAAGGATTGAAGGGCCTTGGAGGGCCACTTCAGCATTTTTCGAACGAGCTTGGCCAAAGAAAGTATCCAAGGATGAACCCAAGCGGCAAGGATGCAAGAGTGCCCTTGGGAAGGTTGCCCATCCTTACTATGCTGGGTGTTTGTAGTACTTTTGCCAGACCCATCCCTCAGTTTCCGCATGCCTTGAGGTACTGAAATCCCCCGCCAGGAAGAATTGAATACGGAGCTGATTCTCGAGACTTTCTCTAAGGTCATGGGCACAGCCCCGTACGTTTGCAACAGTTGCACGGACAGGGCGCAATGATTCTTCAAAAGTGGAATATCGCTGGACACCCCGCTGAACTGTATGATCATGGTTTCCTGTCCTCTTGACTACGATTCAGAAAGATGCAAGGCAATTCCATGTTAAGGGGGGACCCTCGCCAACATGACAGGCCCAACGGTGCTGGTCTTTCACGGGAGGAGGCGCTTCTTGTAGTGGAACGGAACTTGCCGGGACGCATGAAGAGGAGATTCGGACGGGAGCGCATATTGCAGCAACGTTGGTGCGAGTTCGGTTTACTCTGATCGCTCCTCCCTCCTGCATTTCTTACTCCGCCTCTTCCTTTCTCACCGTGCCCCCCTCAACTCAACCGGAGAGGCCTCCCACCCCCGTACTCCTTGGGCTCCAAGAGCATGAACTGTGGGCCCTGGAACCCGCCCATCGGGTGTGCAAGGTTTGGTTGAGGTACAGCTGAACCTGGGCCGGAAGAACGTCCTTTCAGAGCTTTGGGCTCTCCGCCGGCCCATACACACATAATGTCCAAGGGTACCGTCCCCAGGATACACACGAGCATCCAAGACACATGCAGAGCACTAGGGTACGTGCCCTCCCCGAGCCGACCTCGATCGTATACCTCGGTCCGACTGTAGGCCAAGCGACTGTAGGCCAAGGAAACGTCCACGATCAAAGGGATGACGTCTGGTGGTGGCCGCAAGTGTGTGCCCTCCGAACTTCAGACCAGCAGGGCCAGAGTTGCGCTTGCCCCGGGTGGGCGGTTTGCTGGCGCCTCCCCGATTGCGATACCAGAGGCCGTCCAGTTGGCGCCTGCGGCGGGGGCTGCTGCTGATGTTGGTGGTTCGGGGCCGTCGGGCGGTCCTGAGGCTGTGGGCGTCCTGGAGGGGTCGGCCTTTGCGTCGGGCTCGGGTGAAGGGTTCGCCGCCCTGGGGCGCTCTTTGGCTATGATCAAGTGTCGTCTCGTTCTTATCAGTGTGACAACTGGTCTGTCTCCAACTGGAGACTTGCTTGTCGCATTTTTTTTTCCTGGGCAGGTACATCCTTGAGCTTGCTCAGGGTTCCTCAAGCACTGCTCTGGCTTGGCACGCCGCCAGGTGTGGTACACGCTCGACTGGGCCTCCCATGTTTCGCTTCAGCTGCGGGGCGTTCTGCGCTCAGAGGACTGGGGCCTCTCCTCAAGAGTCGCTGTCGGGAGCGGCCCGAACGCGAGCCGCAGGGCGGCCCTGGAGCGCGTGCTGGCAAGCATCCAAAGTCTGGCGAGGCCCTGTGAACTCGATTGAATGGTTGTTTTGAGTCGATCGAGACGGTAAGCGTCGCGCCTGCACCTTGACCCTCTCCCTCTACTGTTCTCGCTGTTATGTTGTCCCTGCTGTCCCTGTTCTCACCGTGCCCCCCCTCCTCTCCGCTTCTCTGCTCCTTACCTGCTCCCTCCACCCCCTCCTCCCTCTTCATTCGGCGGTGGACAAACCTCCCTTCAATAAACCTCCCTTTAGGGAAATCGGCCTAGGACCGAAACCGACAGACCTAGACCCGCGAAAATAACGGCCGCGACGCCCCCTCGAGAACCGAAAAAGGCGAATTCGCTAATCGACGTGTCAGGGTAGGAGGTCTGTCCACCCCCGATTCATTATTGCCGCCTCCCCCTCATCTCCCTCATCCCTCCTGATCCTTTCGCCTCCTCGCCCTTCCCCCCCCTTCCTCCCGCCCCCCCTCTCTCTCCCTCTTTCTCCTCCAACGCATCCCCCTTCCCGATGTGTATGATGCTATGCCCCGCGGAACCGTTCGTCAATGCCAAACTCCTCAAGCAAAAGACTGCTCAGGAGGCACAACCGCTCTCGGCCGACGACCCGCGTTGGGTTCACAAAGCCTCCTGAGCAGGCATTTCCGGGCCAAAGTTCGTGAGAAGCTGGGCACGAGCCCGTTTCTCTTCGCAGATGCCATCAACAGAAAAACAACTCTAGAGGATCGTCCTTAGAGACCTGTGACCCCGTCAGCACAGCCCGCACACGCCATACCCCCCCCCCTCCCCGATCATCATCCCCCATCCCCTTCGTCCTTCTCCTCCTCCTCCTCCTCACCATCACCATCACCATCACCATCACCATCAACATCACCATCACCATCATTATCATTATCATTATCATCAGCAGCATCAGCACCCGCATCAGCATCATCACCAATAGCACCATCATCACCACCATCATCACCATCATCAACAGCATCACCAACATCATCGCCATCCTCATCCTCATCCTCAACATCCTCCTCCTCCTGCTCCTCCTCCTCCCCCTCATCATCATCATCATCATCATCATCATCATCATCATCATCATCATCATCATCATCATCATCATCATCATCCGCATCATCCCGACCACCATCACCATCATCATAATCAGCATCGACATCTCCATCAGAGAAAACGCGTTTACCGGGCGCTTGCCTTGGGAACATTCGGCGGCGCGTTTCGAACCGGGGGGTGGGCCCCCACCCCGAACACTCGGCGCCGTCGATCAAAACCAGGGGGGCTCCCCTCCGTCCCCGAACCCCCGCCTCTCCTGGACCCCCCGGGCGGGGGGGTTCAAATCCTCCCCCCCTGGCGCTGGCGCCAGCGCTGGCAGCGGGCAGCAGCGCCGGCGCTGGCGGGGGCGACGGCGGGGACGCAGCGACGATAACCACCACTACCACCACCACCACCACCACCCAGCACTACCATCACCACCAC